TATAAACATGAAGTCCCGCCTTCGCTGCCTTGCCTCTTCTGTCAACTTGTTGGTTTTTGCCTGTAGGTCTTCGAGTTTGTACTATATTACACACTAATCATCGTTGACGAAATCCAAATTTCTAGGCTCTTGTCATCGGTCCAGCATATTCCCATTTCTCACTCCTCATGCTTTGCTGCATGATCCAATCGACCACGATCAGGAAGATCATTGATGATAGTAAGCAGCCTTGTTTTATTTCCGTCTTCATTTTAAAGACGTCACTGAGCTTTCCACTGTGAATCACTTGCATGCAGCGTCTTTATATGGCTGTTGAATGAGAGTGATTAAGGTTTGTAGCATTTCGTAATGTTGAAGCAGCTGCCTGCAAAATCACTTCTCGGTCGGAGCTACCAAAGGTCTTTTCAAAGTCGATAAAGTTGAGGCAGAAACTTGACGCCATTCTATACTCTATTCTATGATGATGCGTAGCGTAGTGTCGCGATTTCGTCGCACATACTTGTTCTTCTTGAATACAGCCAGCCTGTTGAGGTCGTAATTCTGAATCCAGCGCATCTTTTAGTCTCTCTAGGATGATGCGGCTTAATATTTTGCTTAGTGTGGATTGGAATGGAGCATGGTTCCTCGTTAGTTCTTGCAAAGACTTAGGTCTCCGTTCTTTGAAAGTTTGACAAGGTTGCCCTTATTCCACTCTGCAGGTACCTTTCCTTCCTCCCAAACTTCCTTCTGTAGTGCTGTGAGCATGTCCGCTGTTGTTTCGGTGTCTGTTTTCAGCGCTTCTGGAGGGATTCCATCTGATTTTGTTGCTTTCCCGGCTTTCAGTAAATTCATGGCGTTCAGAAATCCACTCGGCTTTCGTCGGAATGTTCGTGTTCACTGGTAGTTCTGTTGCCGGGCTAATAATGGTATTTCTGGACGAGTTGCAGGTGGTGGTGGTCGATTCGAGAGTTTTTAGAAGTGGTCAGCCCATCGTCTTATTTTATTTGTTTCTCCTCTTTAGTGTTAACTAGTTTTCCTTCACTATCTCTCATTGGTTTCATCTGTGTTGATCTCTTCCCAGATAGACAGTAACCTGGTTATCTAATATAATGTTGTCAGGTCTCTGTCTCTCCTACCGTCAGACCGTTCTGCTTCACATGCCAACGTGTTGTATAAGTGTCTTTTGTCTTTGCGGGCACTCTTCTACATTCCTTTGTCCAGTGTAGTGCTTTATGCCTTGGAATCATCCTTGCACTGCACTGGTTCATCTTCTGCTTCACCATCTTCCTCTCCCCTCCTCTATCAGCTTCCATGTGTCCGTCGAGATCCATTCCTTAACTTGTTTCCTCTTCCTTCCTAACATGGTTATGCAGGTTTCTTTCCACATCTCTCAAAAAATTCCAGTGTTTTTCCACGCAGGTTTCCTCGGGTATGTTGTTCAATGTCTCCTAATTTGTTCTGATGACTGACTGATGTGAAGATGTCCTTTGTAGTTTCGTCCTTCAATTTCTGTTCTGGGTGTTAAATTTCAACTGTGGTCCACCACCAGCTTCTTGGAAGGCTTCCAACTTGATTGTGAAGGTTCCTTGCACTAGATTGTGAGTGTTCTGAACCTACATCTGCTTCCCTTCCTAACCTCGCATCTAGTAGGCTGATTGCGTCTCCACTTTCTGCCCACTGAGATGAAGCCGATCTGATTTTTAATGTAGTTTGTCCTGGTATCTGGTGAAATAAAATCCATGTCGCTCTGTGAATATCCTTGTGTTTGTACACACTGCCTCCAATCACCAAATTGTTGAATGTGCAGAAATCTGCAAACACTTCTCCATTCTCATTCATTTCACCAAGTGATTCTCGACCACTGATTTGTTCTCTTCTTGTGTTGCCCGCTTCAAGGTTGGAATTCATGTAGCTCAGTAGAATTTGAAGTCGCCAACTGGGGTGGTGTCTATCTAGTACTAATTGCAGTTGTCCACAGAATTCCTCCTCCTTCTCTTCATCTGCATTATTTGTAGGTGCATAGCGTAGCGTAACATTGAATGATTGTGACTTTCCTTCCTTTTGAGCTGAACCATGCTGTTATGCTTCTGATGCCGCAGGGTGAGACTGGTTTCCACTGCATGAGAGTAAGCATTCGATGTTGTTGGAGACATCATGATGGCCATTGCAAAACTCAGTGTGATTGTGGTTGTCATCTAGGTGACAATATTGGAGTAGAATATTGACTCCTCTGCAGCTGATAGTTTGGAGAGTCCACTTCCATTTCATCTACTTTCACAGACTCCAAGCACTTCCATGCCATACCTCCTCATCTCTTTTGCGATCTGTGTAGCCTTGCTAGGTTCACACATGATGCGGACATTCCATGTCCCCATGTTTACTTTCACTTTCATCGGGAGAAGACACATCGGTCGACTGGCTTCCGAAGGCTTTCACCAACCGGCATCATTTCGCCTCTCCGATTCCAGTGAGGAATAGTTTTGTTTTTGTTTTTATATTTTGCTTGTGCTTCGAAGTTTCTTTAGCGGTTTGATTAGTTTTACGGGGTAGAGGTGGGGGTAGGGTTGCTAGCCCTTTGCTCAACCTTCCCTGTTTATCTGGGTTTAGGACAGGCTAGTAACTAGTTAACTAGTTAACCAGGCGAGGTTATTTCTTAGAGTACTGGCGGTTTATGCATATACATGAGAAATAGCAGTGCGCCAAGAATTGTAACTTGCGGTACTCTATTCTGTACTGACTTCCGAGTAGCGCTTTGGGAATCGATGCTCACTCTTTTTCCTCCACTAGTGCGAGACTCTTGGATGTATGCCTTTAGATTGTCAGTACTTTCTAATCTTTCTAGTTTCATGGGCAATCTAGAATGAGATACTATATCGAACGCCTTACTGAAGTTTATGAAAATGCCATCTACGGGTATCCCGCCATTCTAAGAATTAACCCGACTTGCTGTGACTGTGAGATTATTTTTAGGCAAAAAACCACTGCTACAGCCATGTTATAAAAGCGACCAAGCAGCTTCTCTTTTTAGATGGGTCTATAGTGGCTTTCTTGACTACTCTTGCTGGGATTTTAACTGCAGTACTAGTCAATCTGAACTTCCCCTACTTTGCCGAGTGCTGTCTAGAATTTCCCCTGCAGAAAAGTGTGACTATAGCAACTGTCCAGATATATGGGCTGCGCCTTCACTAAGGGACAGTCTTAACATAGTAGTTAATAATCCTCCTACATAGTGGGCAGGCTCACTGAGCAGCCTTAGGTCTAGTTCATCCGACCGTTGCTTTTTCTACATTTGGGGTACTTAATGTCTTAAATTCATCATTATAGTCACCGTCCTCAGAGCTTATTCTGATGTTTGTCAATGCGTCTGCTTTCTAGATAATTTCTGCTGAAAACCTATAGGAAAAGACCTCAGTGAAACATCTGGCAACAGCCTCTACTTCATTCTGATCGTCTCCACTCAACTAGTTAGTTTATATTTTTTCGGTTAGGGTGGGGATATAACGATGCTTTTCATTCTTATAGTTCATACAAGAAAGTGACTTCTTGGGTGTTCTACTGCAGCCTGGAAAATATTCTTCTAAAACATTCAGGACTGGTCCACAGCAGTAATATGTTAATTCCGCTCTACTTTATAATTCTTCTTCGCCTCTAAAAGGCCCTAAAAATTCCTCTTCTGTTGTGGTGGACTATAGATTTCGCGATTCATTTATAGATGACAGTGATTTCATTCCTTTAAGACAGCCTAAAGAATGGACAGGTGAGTCAGTCGTGCGTACGACTATTTAAAGTTGTACAATGTACGTATTAAGTGTTGATTTGATCAACAAGCTTCAGTTATCAATGTCTTTTTCACCTCACTAAATCTCTTAATTCTGTCGATTTGTTAAATCCTATTGTGTAGTTGTGCGTAGTTGTACGTGTAGCCATAGCCGAGCTTTTTTCTAGATTGCCTGTCTTACTAGAATCTACCGATCTCGATTTAGCTATGTTTTAGTGCTCGAACAGTCTATTTGACCCTGGATGACTACTTTGAGTTATATTTGACTTCACAATGATTGCACAGGATTTGGCAAACTAAACTATTTTGCGCAGTTGGATCTTTAGGATCTTATAACCTTCAAGCCTGTTTTTAACTAAATGTCTGGGTTTAAATGCTATTCTAACATCAAACTCATTAAGAAACCTACATCGTGTCTATAGAGTGCATTCCTTGCATTGTAACACTCTAGAGGTTTCAATTTTCTCCTCACAGTGTTGCCATTATTATCATCACTATTATCACTATTATTAATATCTGTTTTATTAAAACTGGTCATATTTGTCCTGTGGTTCTTCATGAATTCATAATTAATTTAGAAGAGTAATTTTGAATGAGTAAGTTATCTTTTTTGTATCTGACTTCCTGTTTCAAATCTATCTTACTTGTAAGTTTTTGGCCCTGCCACTTATAGATTTTAATAAGCCTACTTTAAATGACAGATTCAGATGTGTTGTTTGAGGACAGAAGACAGTAAGCCCTTATTATTCCTTTTCAAGTAGACTTCTATGCTTGTCCAGTCCCATGTTAAACACGTCGATTGATGATGCGGACACTACTTCTTCTGGGGTCGGTTCCAGGAGTTGATTACTTGATGTGAGAACCAGTACTCTGCGGAGACTATGTTCGCTCTTTGCTTTTGTAGCCTTCTACTACGTCTTCTAAGGTGTTCCGACCAGTGGGGAGGAAAAGAGAAGATAGATCAAGTTCGAAGTCATTTCTTAGAACCTGTACAGCGTGATTAGGTCTCCCTTCTGTCTGCGACAGGATAGGAGAAGAGATTCAGCTCCCTAAGTCGATCTTCATGGGTTAGGTCAGCCATCGCAGGGATCATACAAGTGGCTTGAAGTACAAGCAATGACTCAGATATGAAGGTTTCCTAAACTATCTTGTATTCATCTCATTCTGAAATCCAACATAACTAGAAATTTTTTGGTGTTGATTTTTCTTTTCATAGATATACAGACAAAAGTTGAAGCACATTATGTTCGAACAGAATTCACGTGGTTCAGAAGCTAAAAAGGAGGCATTACAAAATTTGACTAATTCAGAAAATGAAGCCAAATCTGAAATTCACGCAATACGTAATGAAAATTATACCCTTAAAATACGACTACGACAACAACTGGTTGAATCACAAGAACCAATCAAACAGTTGAAGAAGCAACATGAAATTGATGTAAGAGACTTCTGCTGTTGACAGTGCAAAGTTAACCTCAAAATACATATATATATATATATATATATATATATATATATATATATATATATATATATATATATATATATATATATATAACCCCGTTCCTATGTACTTAGCGGATATGACTACAGTGCACAGTGATGGATATCAGCCAGTTGAAGGCAACTGACAGAAATAACCGGACCTAGGTTTCGTGCTTGTTGGTACTCGTCATCACGAGATATCTGCAACTTAAGAAAAACAGGTATCCCATCTGAGATTCGAACCTGCATCACCCTGTTTTGTCGTCACTGACGTTACCACTGAGCTAATTTGATTGGACTTTAGAGAATATGACTATTGATTCAACAGATTTCTAAAGTATAGTACCCAGCAGATTAGAGAAAACCAAATTTACAGTGGTACTGAAAACTGATCCGAAATTCTTAATCTACTTATATTTTATCTTAAGTAATAAAGTGTTTTGAACAGTTAGTCCCTTTTATGAATTTGGATAATGTAATTAGAAGATGTAGATTATCTGAAAAATGTGATGTATTAGTGCTATACATTTTGAACAATCTGATCACACATTTACTTGTTAAAGCATTATATATGAAAACTGGAAGTGGGGGAAGGATAAATATGACATAAAGGAATTCAATAGTAAGAAAGATAATGAGAGGAATAAAAGAAAAGACTTGAAGACAATCTTGTTCATACGATCAAATAAGCATTACCAAGGTAGGCTTAATGTAAGGAAAAACTGTTTTGCACACACAATGGGGGGTTAAATTTATTTATGGCTAGCGCCTCAACAAACTTAAGTATACGCCCCTGACAGTTTCTGTACAAAATTGTAAAGGCTGTTTTGATATTAATCCTGTGACTCTTATCAGTGATATGTTTCGCAATGGATGCGGATGATGGTGGTCTTCCATCTGCACTTATCAATGTTTGTGAATCCAGCTGCTTTCGTAGCCATTTTGGAACATATTCCCCTACCCTCAAGTACATATCGCGATTAGTACTCCCTATGTATGTTCGTCCCCACACACATGTAAATTGATAAACGCAATGGGATGTGACACAATCGTTTATACTGCGTTGAGGTCTAGGTAGCAGCAGGTGTTTGGTCTTCTCAATTATGATAAGCTTAGCTGCATAGTACGTTTTGCTAACAGCAGAACTTAACCTTCGTTTTAATATTATGCTATTAGATTCTCGTCTGTATGGTAACGCGATGTAAACGCATTTCTTCGAAACAGAGTACAGATCAGGTTTGAATCCTCACCGATTCTTGCAGCTGTTTATGAACTTCAATGGATATCCATTTTCCACTAATGTTCCCATTAGTATTTTGATATCATCTTCCATTGAGTCCTCCGTACAATCATTATCTTTTTTATTATTGAATTCCTTTATGTCATATTTATCCTTCCCCCACTTCCAGTTTTCATATATAATGCTTTAACAAGTAAATGTGTGATCAGATTGTTCAAAATGTATAGCACTAATACATCACATTTTTCAGATAATCTACATCTAATTACATTATCCAAATTAATGAAGTGTTGTTTCAGGTAAAGGAGACAGTTATGAATATATTATTTCTATCCACAATATAAGCATGTTTGGTAGAATGAAAGTAGCCGAAGCGCAATCTGTTTTGATTACAAAGATATTCTTCATTATTTGTTTGAATTCTGGATCATTTTATCGATAATTTCATCTGAAACTCAAGACATGTTATTTGGAAACTAGCAGGAATTGCTCTTTCCATTAAACTAGGAGTGAAATCACGTTAAAGCTTTCCACTGAAGGGCTTTAGATTCTAATTTATGGTGTTTCGCATCTGTTGTTTCCCAGACGTCGAAATTATCTTCAATCAGACATTTAATACAGATATGAACACTTCTGTCGTTTTAAAACCCTTTATTTTCATTCCCTCCTTCATTGCAGATGGCACATATAAGACAAGATTTTACTCAGCAAAGAAAAGAGTTAGAAATAAAAGCTGAAAAACAAATGGCAATATTACGTAAAGAAATTGATACTCAATGTCGTGTTGAAGTGCACAAGACAGAAGAACATAAAAATATGCATATACAAAATTTAGAAATGAATCATGAACAAGCATTTGCCAATATGAAAGCGTATTACAATGACGTAACTCTAGGTAATGTTAGTGTCATTAAAACACTGCGTGTAAGTTTGTTTGCTTCGTTTTGTTGCATAACGCTTGGTTTATTTATATGAAATATGATCAAGATTTGACCGAATAGAAAAACAAATATTCGGTGCCGAGTACAAGGCTGACATTAGATATAGTTTGTATTTTTGTAAGTTAAAGGGTGTTTGAAGTTCGCACGGTTGTCTGGTCCAAGCCTCATTAAGGAAACAATCGGAAATTCTATAATCAACGGTATATATATATCAGAGAATTCTAAAATGCATACTTAATCTCACTGCCAGTACTTTTTGTATAGTCATTACTTTTCTAAAATAATGATTGCTCTTCATTCATTGTGAAAGCGCTCATCTCTTGCTGTACAGTGTGTGTCTGCGTGTTGTTATTCATATTCCGCTTCACTGCAAGTACGAGCAAAAAATAGGGTCACAGTTGAAATTTGAGTTATTCGATAGTTGTATAAGTACAGTAGGACATATGAAGTGCATGTGCCACTTCTGTTGGTACGTATGGACTAGTTAGTAATAACAAGTTTTGTAAATGATTTGTCCAAACAAAATGGAAATGAATAGTAATAATAATAATAATAATAAATCAAATCAATCTTCATTGTGTTGCTGTTGATGTAGATATAATGAGGATTAGACTGGTGTAGAGACGCCACATGACAAGTAATTCACAATGGGGAGCTCAGTGATGCCTTTGCAATGAAGTGAAGACAGGAGTGAAACAAGGTTGCCTACTATCACCCATGATATTCCTGATTGTGGTGGACTGGATCATGCAGCAAACAGTGGGGAGCAGTGAGAAGAGGGGGATACGCTGGGGACCTGCAGAAACAACCTAGAAGATCTGGATTTCGCCGATGACTTGTGTCTGATGTCATACAAACTTGAAGATCTACAGGCGAAAACTAACAAGTTGGCAGAAGAGGCAGCGAAGACGGGACTTCAGGTGAACATAGAGAAGACAGAAGTGATGTAGATACCGCACCACCAACAACAACAAACTCCAGTCACCATCAACGGGAGAAACTTAAAGGAAGTAACCTCCTTCACCTATCTAGGCAGCACTGTTTCAACTACAGGAGGCACAGACGAGGATGTGAAAGTCAGAATCGGAAAAGCAAGACAGGCGTTCATTAGCCTGAAACCAGTGTAGAGATCTTCTGCAGTCAGCATGTGGAACAACATCCGGATTTTCAACATCAACGTCAAGTCACTGCTTCTGTATGGTTCAGAGACTTGGCGCGTCACAAAAGGCAATTCCAATAAACTACAGACATTCATCAACAACTGCCTACGCTGGCTCGCTACTGAAGATCAGATGGCCAGAAATAAAAAGCAACAAGGAATTCTGGCTGGTAATGAACCAACCAAGAACCCATCGCTGAACAAATACGCAGTGGAAGGAAGTGGAGATGGATTGGGCATACACTGAGAAAGCCGACTGGGGACATCACGCGTCAGGCCCTCGAGTGGAACGCAGACAGGAAGCGACGAGTTGGGCGTCTGAGGAGAGGGTGACGTGGAGGAGACGGTGCGAGGAGGAAATGAGAGCTTGTGGGCTGTCGTGGGGCCAGGTTCAAAAGATTTCAGAGAACAGAGTTCACTGCAGACGTGCTATTGAAGCCGTATGTTCCATTAGAAACCGAAGGGACTAATAGTAATAATAAATATAATAGACTCGCTGTTTCTGCTTATTAACTATTAATTACTAAGAGGCAGCTGACTGTACGGCGTTTAATCATTTCAAGTTATCTGGACTCGACTTGTAGAGTCTTGGTTGTCAATCGTTCTTGGCATGACCTGAAACCTTTTTGGAGAACGTTGTTCCCGTGAAATTCCGATCTAGTGTAACGCAGTGGCTGTTTTTTCTAGTTTCTTAATGTTTGCTGAAGTTTTTGAAACCTGCTTTAAATAGTCTTCGCTTTCCCATCCTAACATTTATTCTTACATTAATTCCATACAAAATGTTGGAATTACTTGTTTTGGATTTCCAACTAAATTTGCAGTGAATAACTTGTAAGCGGTCCTTACACTTTCATTGATCAAATGAGAGATAACTAACAAGTCTTGAATTGAAGAATATCATTTCAGTCTTCAGATAATCTCTGTTCAAATAAATGGTATCTCTAAGGCACTAATTCATATCTCACTTGTATAAATGACAACTCAAGAACTATTTTATTTTATTAGGTTCAAATTCCTACTAAGAAGTAATACTAATGACAGTCATACAAATTTAAACAGCACATGTAATATGCTTCATCTTTCAATAAAAAGCCACAGACATCAATAAACGGTAATAGCTATCTAATGAAACGTAACTCTGAACAGCCTATGCAATTCAACGTTGCATTCTTGATGATATCATAATATTGTCACAGAGATTATCAACAGCCAACTAGTTTATACTTGTCAAAGTAAAACTTAAGCTGAATTAAGATACTAGTGACTGTCTACTGACAAGAAGCCCATACCATATTGTCTATTCAATGACATGGCCAACACCGATTACAGTGGTAAAATTTGTATTCACTCTATTTTATTTTGAAATTCTACCAGTTTTCTCTAGTTTGCGTCAGTTTATTCTTTTTCCACTAATACAGTTTTATTGATTTTAAATATATTTATTCTTCTGTTCGCTTCTTCCATCTGTGGTTTTACGAAGTGTAGAGACTCGAACCACAGCACTTCTGAGACAGGTTACATACTGACTTGTCTGTTTGATCTGTCTAGTCGTCACGCTGAAATTCAAAGTCCTATCCAAATATTTCCACTTCGAATATTTCACGATATCACCTTATAACAGCAGTGAGGGGAAAATTTTCGACAAACTGACAAGAAGAGATTTTATGCTATTCCCTTTTTGTAAACTATAGTGACTCTTACACTGATGATCAACGATTTATCTACGAAAATTAAGATAAACATGATAAGAGCAGTATCTCAGCAATAATCTTTCCAAAGTTGGGTAAATAATACGACATTGCGAGAATCACATAAGTAAACTTTTATTACCAGATATTTCAACTTGTTATATTTCTGAGTTAAACATGTGGCGAATTCACTATAATGTTGTCTACTTGTATGACGCTACCTTGAACGTGATTAATCTCGTGTATACTTACTAAGTCTTGCATACTCATTTCACCCACATGATGAGTTACGCCATTCGGCTCTCCCAACCGCTTACAACACAACAAAGATTCTCGTACTTATTGTCCGTACATCTCAGAAAATCTGATTCGTCTAAATTACTTGACCACAATGTACCATAATTTATGAAAACAAATCTTGTTTTAAGCAAAAAATATGGGATATTCCACAACAATGCATATCACTCAACATACAATTATTTCTGGGATATAGGTTATACAGAAACGGGTGATGCACGCAAGTGAATCGGTTCAAGTCGCCCTAATTTACAGAAGTATGCAAAATATAAGTGGATAGAAAGCATAATATTAAAGTAGACCAAAATGTATAGGAGAAAATAACACTTTTAAGATAAAGGTTGTTGAGAATGTTCAAGCCTATGAAGGCGTTAAAGACTAAACAAACATACTTCTTTGTAAGAAATTTGTAGTCACTTCACTTAAGGGCCTCAACCGTTGACTCCTGTAGTCTCGAGCACCCTGGCTAGCTAGTGTATGCCTTCCTATACGTCTCAAGTTGACAGTCAGAGACTTCGTGTTTTAATGCCACATCTTGGTCTCCACCCTGAGCCTTCTTCCAAACTCATTCGAATTCTCCTGGCTTTTCCCTATGGGGTTGGGCAGTGGCTCGTTATACACAACACATATCCGAGGCACCTCAACCGATGAAGGTTCGCAACCACATCGACCAACATTGCATTCGTTGCCTAGTGCCTTTCTCCTTACTTCAACATTGCTCATACGGCGATTCCACAAAATGGGACTAATGCTACAAAGAGACCTAGTATCAATACCCCGTAACAACTTCATGCTTTCTACTTTCAACGACCATGTCTCACAGTCGGATGTCAGGACAGAACGGACTGCAGAGTAGTCTACTCGTCATTAAATAGGTGGTCGGGTATTTCACTAGACGGCTCCAGATATGACACAGGTTGGTGAATCCCAAATTAGCCTTCTGTATCCCAGCTGAGATTTCATCAGCAAGTAGCCCGTTCCAACTGATGCATCTACGCAAGTGAAGGCGTCAACACATTCCACCACTTAACTCCCCATCCATAAAATGGGGGTAGTTGTAGACCAGTCATGAGCATTGTCTTAAATAAAAATAAATAATTAACAATAGGTTGATTCCAAACAATATGTTTGATGCAGTATGGAATTCTCAACATGCAATATTTTAACAAATTCACTCCCTAAACAATATTTTCAAACAAAATGATTATTGTGTCTGATTGATGGAGTTTTTATAAAAAAACCATTGAAGCAGACGGTCGGTGTTACATTAGACTCTGGTCCAGAATGCAGAATGAACTGTAGAAAAAGTGTAAGTTAAGTGATGGTGGTGATGATTCATTAAGCCAGTAAAAGAGTATCCTATTGGAGATAAATATCCGAAGAATAAAAAAAATCATAAATTTTGGTGTCTTCAAGAGTCCATTCCCGCCTTACATGACGTTTCCTTCGTTTGTTCTTAATTCCGAAACCGGCTAGTTTAGAAATCTCCAATAGTACTTGGCAAGTATGGATACAAACCAAAAAGATTAAAACAAACTCATAGGGAAGAATTTGATATTTGCCCAGTGGAAGATTTTATCGGTAGTCGTAGGTTCAAACAGGACACAAAAAGTTTGTTTTCTTACATTCGACAGGCGCGAACGCATGCCACACATATTCAGATTTCTGCCCGTGTCCAGAAGACCCCGCATTTTGTCAGCGTCTTCATATAACAAGACGATATCTTTTATATACTTAAAGCCAACCGGATGACCTTCAGGTAGTAGGACAATCCATATGAAGTCAGAAGTACCTAAGCTGACGTCTGTTAGTACATCTATAATGGAGTTAAATAAGAAC